CTGTTGCCCAGACTGATCAAAATAGAGGGGATGGAGAGAAATAGAAGAAATAAACAATGTCAGGAAAATAAAAAGACACATTATCACACATTCTATATAAATTAGAAAACCTAAGAAGATATTAACAAATTTAGGCCCATAAATTTGAAAGTTTGATGGGACAAATTTAAAAAAAGAAAAAAACTTACCAAAATGGACACATGAAGAAATCATGTGTGTTATATTTTAAGATTTCAAATCTATGTTTAAGAATTCTCCTTCAAAGAATATTTTAGATCAAGTGTTTCTTCAAGGAATTCTATGAAATATGTAAGATAGAAATGGCACCAGTCATCCACAAAAGCCATTTCATATATTCAATATATAAAGGCTAATTATATTTTCACATAATTTAAAAGATACTGTTTAAAACAACATTTCAAAGCTTCAAACCTGGGAACGAGTCTAATGAGAGATCTACAACACATATATAGAGATTAAAAATATAGATACTAAATACGTGGAAGAATATGACTTTTACATGGATTGGAAGACACAATACCATAGAAATGTCACTTCCCCCAGACTAATTTTTAGATTCAATGAAAATAAAATTAAAATCTTGGCAAATTATTTTACTGAAAATTTTTGAGAACATTTAGAATCACATTAAAAATTCATATGGCCATGAAGAGTCAAAATGATTAAATAATTTAGAATCTAGTTGGAGGATTAAACTATGATAAAACAAGATTTATTATAAAGCTATGGTAATTAAGAAAATATAGTATTGGTATAGCAATAAATAAATAGGCCAATGGGACAGAAAAAAAGAGCACAGAAATAGAAACAAACTAGAAACAACCCAAATGTCTAACAAAATGGATTTATAATTTGAGATGCTTAAAGTATGTGGTAAATTTCTTTAGTATTTGCATAATATAAGGGTAAAGCACTAGATACACAGTTAAATAATTTGGCAGATTAAAGTACACAAGTGTGAAAGAATATTTGATCACAAATCACCCACAACTTAAGTGTCATGTTAAAGGAGATATTGTTCAAACGTCGCATAGAGGATCCATGGATAACTGGACACTTGGGTCAAATATTCCAAATCAGGAGTGTGTGGACAGAACATCGTGGGCAAGTTATAGCTCCCTCAGAGTGAAACTCCGACAAAGGCTTAGAAGAATATCCCCTGGGGAAATGGGACTTTGGATTCTCTTCTCACATTTCTGGGTCAGGAAACACTAAATCCTTATTTGTAAATTCTCTTAAATGTATATTTAAGAGTTTAAGGTGAGGGAATCACCATACAGAAATTCCTGAATAAAGGAAAAATAAATGAAGGGGAAAAAATGAAAGAAGAAAAAGTAAGAGAAGCCTAATAAACACAGCATAATTGGCCTGCAGAGATTTTTCTCTCTGAGGGTAAAGAAGATAACTTCTTCTAAATCCTGCCTCTTGCCCAGCTGTCTCTTCCTGGGGAAGTGCTGGCCTCCTGTCATAGAGATAAGTCATCTCCAGTGCTGTCTTAGAACTTGAGCCGTAAACCCAGGGTTTCCTCCTTAACACACACAGCCTCTTCCTAAACTTATATTTTATTTATTTATTTTTTATTTTTAGAAAGGGAATCTTGCTCTGTCACCCAGGCTGGAGTGCAATGGCGTAGTCTTGGCTCACTGCAACCTCCACCTTCTGGGTCCAAGCGATTCTCCTGCCTCAGCCTACCGAGTAGCTAGGATTACGGGCACCTACCACTACACCCAGCTAATTTCTGTAATTTTAGTAGAGACAGGGTTTCACCATGTTGTCAAGGTTGGTCTCAAATTCCTGACCTGGCGATCTGCCCACCTCGGCCTCCCAAAGTGCTGGGATTACAGGTGTGAGCCACTGTGCCCAGCCTCTTCCTAGACTTTTAAGCCTCATGTGACAATTGGAATGATTTTGGCTGTTGGAAAAACAAAAGTCTCATTTTGACAATTGGTTCCAAGAAAACACAGCTTGAACAGCCAAGCTGAGGAGGAAGTTATCTTCAGATACCTCTGAGAAGAGAAGCACCTGGCATACAGTTTTGACAGCTTTCGGGAATCACCAGGCTTAGCTGGTCATGTTTCTTGCCTCCCACTGCGGCACACAGCAGCACTAACTCTTGAAAATATGGAAGAGAAGACAGGTTTGTGTTGACTGGCTCATAAATTACCGTGGTGGAAGGTAAATTCATCAGAATAACCAGCTTTAAAGCATATTTGCTGCCAGCATTGTGGCTTAATGCCTAAGGAAATGGGGATGGAGAGAGCAACTCACCCAGTTGACATTTTGTAGAAAAACTCAAACTTTCCATGTGGCTTTGTTTTTTGAAAAGAACACTTGTAATTCGTAACTATAGGAAGCTTGAATTATAAATTCAAGAAGAAAAGATGATACAGGGGTGCTCTTCACCTTCACTATTATTGTCAATTATAACATTGCCACCTTACTTTTGAAAATCTGTTTGATTTTTATTTACATATCTATTTTCAAAAATGTCAAGCTTTATTATTTTGTTTTTTGCTTTTCTTCTTAAGAAATCATTATTTTTACAATTAGAATTGTATTCTTATTCCATTAAGGTTATGTACATTCCCCCCCTCTAATGAATTAGGAAAGACTTGAACTTATGCTCCCTTTAGACAGATCAAGAAACTAGCTAATGAGAGCTGAACTGGTAAATGCAAGTTTATTGGCAAAGCAGTTCATTCACTCCCAGAAAGAAGCAGTTAAAAAACAAACAGATATGAAGACGGTACAGAAATATGACATGGTAACTATGGGTATTTAAATTCTCTCTTTGGGTATTTTATTTCTATCTTTAATGGGTAACTATGGGTATTTTAATTCTATCTTTAATCAATACCTTCTTGGGCCTTTATGGGAAATTACTGGCCAAAAATCAGGGTTACTACATTTTGTCAAACCTCTAACTATTTTCTTTTTTTTAAGAAGTAAAAGGTTTAAAACTCCAAGAGATTAATGTCAGTTGGTTTTTCAGCCAGGTTTCCTTATTTGGTACCTGAGATCTATTAAGGAATCATCATATATACCCTTCTCTGTTAGTTTCAGCCCTTTGCTGATGAAATTCCTTTATATGAATTGTTTCATAGGTCATAGTAGAACTAAAGACTACCCCCTCTAATTTTTGGAACTAGTTTATAAAATGTCTGTTTATGGCTAAGTCCCATTGACAGGCCCAGGGCATTGATTTTTCCCTTTGAGATGATGAGTCTCTCTTTTGTACCTGCAGTACCTGCCAGTTATGCTTTCATAATTTTACTATTTTTTTCATTAGGGATAAAAAAAAGGAAAGATTTCCTCTTTCTTCAATAGAAATATTATGAAGTGACTTATTCCTCTTTTGAAGCTCTACAGTAAATTTTAAAGAATTAAAAAATATTTAGTACTTTTATTGCCTCCTCTCATTGTAACTTACATAAATTTTCTCCTAAGATAGGAATGATTTATTATGCTTAATTTATCCAAAGGTGAATAAAGGATTATCATATGCAAATGCCCATTGACTTTTTGTCCACTAGCTAATCCAAGTGCTCTGGACACCCTACTTATCTGCAGTTAATGGCACTACCTGACTGCAGATGGAAAGTAGATAATATTTGGTTGGAACATCTGGGTCTAAATTTCATTTTCTTTTGCTAAAAAAAAAGAGTAATTAAAAATAGGATATGTAGGAAATTGAGAGTAGGCTTTGGTAAAACCATAAAATTTTTCCAGATCATTTGTGATTTGAATAAGGTGCAAATACAATATTACTAGGAGTTTCAAAGAGCATTTTTGAATACTAGAGCCCTTGAACTTTCTAAAATACTGTTTGTCATCAGTATTATAAAGTTTGGAGATGGTATTGAGCAGCTAGAGTGTCCCCTTTGGTTCTGTGAGCAACAGTAGAAGGAGAACAGTACAAAGATGAGAGAAGACAAAGTTTTCTAAGGGGGTGAAACAGCAAAGTATTTGAGATGAGGACAAGAGAAAAGAGAATTGTGTGTGTGTGTGTGTGTGTGTGTGTGAGAGAGAGAGAGAGAGAGAGAGAGAGAGAGAGAGAGAGAGAATCAACAGTCATTTCAATGAATTAATTCCAGTTAATTATTTTCCATCACACTATGGTCTCCAGACCATAACTGTCACTATTCAGGACACAATACAAACAGAACTGATGGGAATGTGCAACCAGATGACCATCACCTCTTAGTTAATATGCTAACACTTGTAGCAAATATGTAAGTTCTTATCATTCATTAGGGAAGATAGTTGATGCATCACTGACATTTAGTTTCTGGACAGTCATGGCCTGATGTTAACACACACTCTGCTACTTTTCTGCAGGAGGATGAGAATGACACTGGGCCTTCCTCTTATCCTATCATCCAGATAAGAGACAAGCCTGAGAAGATTTCTCAAAATTGAGCAGCCAGGTCTTCAATTTTTTTTCTTTACTCACCTTGAAATGTAATTTTTGACAGTTTTTGTCACTTACAAATCTATTTTATGTTTGCTTTCTAAGATGAAGTCCTAGATTTCTAATTATAAATGGATAAAAGTGGAGCATCATATTTTTGTAGTCAGGGAATTCAGAGATTAAGAAATTTCAAAAGTGTTATTATTAGGTTATTTTACTATGAATTCAGAGATAATAAGGAGGGAAAAATGAGTATCCAACAAAGAAGTAAGCAAACTCTATGATTAGAAATTGGATCTAAAAGAAGAGATTCAAATTTCATAGTTAATCTTCTTTGATAACAAAATCTTCCCCACTTAAGGAAGAAGAGGTTTTCTTTTCCTCAATGAATACGAACATCTATAGGTTCCATTACGGCCAAAACCTTCAAGAAGATGTTTATAATCTGAAAAACCACATCATTTAATATTAGATGGGCTACCTGGTATAAACGACCTCATAAAGCCCCTGCCACTCTGAGGTTCTGGAACTTACTGATTTATGACTTGGGTTTGGTCCTCAGAGGCTCATGGGTAGAGAAAACCAGACAAGGATGCATGAATTCATTCTGCTTGGATTGTCCAGTGCCTGGGAGACTCAGGTCTTCCTCTTTGTCCTCTTCCTGGCCGTGTATCTGGTGACTATACTGGGGAACTTCCTCATCCTCCTCCTTATCAGGCTGGACAGCAGGCTCAATACACCCATGTACATTTTCCTTGGTGTCCTGTCATTTGTGGACATCTGTTACACCAATAGCACTGTCCCACAGATGCTTGTTCACTTTCTGTCAGCCCGGAAGTCCATCCCATTCCACAGCTGTGTGCTCCAGCTGTGTGTCTCCCTGGCAATGGGCAGTATGGAGTTCTTCCTGCTGGGGGCCATGGCCTATGACCGCTACGTGGCTGTGTGCCACCCACTGCACTACACAGTCATCATGCATGGGGGGCTGTGCCTGGGGCTGGTGGTCGGCTGCCTAGTGGCTGGTTTCATGAATTCCCTGATGGAAACAATCATCACCTTCCAGCTTCCCCTGTGCCACAATGTTATTAATCACTTTGCCTGTGAGACGTTAGCAGTGCTACGGCTCGCCTGTGTGGATGCCGCCTTCAACAAGGTCATGGTGGCTATTTCAGGGTTTCTGGTGATCCTGCTTCCCTGTTCCCTGGTCCTATTCTCCTATGCGCACATAGTGGCTATCACTCTTCACATTCCTTCTGCCCAGGGACGCCGCAAAGCCTTTGGGACCTGTGCCTCGCACCTCACTGTGGTTTGCATGTGCTTTGGGGCTACAATGTTCACCTACATGAGACCTGCGGGTGGCTCCTCTGTGGAACAGGAGAAGATGGGTGCCCTCTTTTATGCTGTCATGACTCCAATGCTTAATCCTTTAATCTACAGCCTCAGGAACAACGATGTGCAGAGTGCCTTACAAAGAGCGTTGGAAAAATTTAGTGAAAAAGGATAAAGACTCAGTGAATCTATCCTCTCCTCCAGCAGTCCAAAGAAAGACATTACAAACAAAGAAGAAATAATTGCTATGCCTTTTCATGTGTATTCTTTGTTAAACAACTTCTAAATACTTTTTAATTTGTGTTGCTGTTATAAATGACATTTTATTTTATTTTTCTAGTTGGTTATTGATGTACAGATATTCCATTGATTTCTTTCTTACTTTTTTTGAGAGACAAAGTCCGACCTTGTCTTCCAGGCTGGAGTGCAGTGGCGAAATCATAGCTCATTATAGCTTCGAACTCCTGAGCTCAAGAGTTCGAGGCTATAGTGAGCCATACTCCTTGCTCAGCCTTCCAAGTAGCTGAGACTACAGGTGTGTATCACCATGCATTGCTACATCTTTTATTTTTTGTAGAAACAGGGTCTTGCTATGTTGTCCAGGTTGGTCATAAACTCTTGGCCTCAAGCAGTCCTCCTGCCTTGGCCTCCCAAAGTGCTGACATTACAGGAGTAGTCATTGATATCTGTAAGATGGTCTTGTGTCTAGTTCTCTTATTAAAGCTAATAGATTGTTACAAAAATTTTCCTAGATATATAATCTTATCATCTGTAAATAGTGATGATTTTGCTTACAGTCTTTGTAAATGTTAATTATTTTCTTTTCCTATAGCATAGGCCAGGACCTCTAGTGTTCTAATTGTAGCCATGAGAATAGGTATATTTTCTTATTCCTGATTTAAAGAAATGCATCCAGAGATTCTCCATCTAGTACACTGCTGTGGATTTGGAATATTTAACCTTTACCAAGTTAAGAAAGTTCCCTTCTAGTTCTATATTTTAATGATTTTTTTAAATGGACAGATAAATACTTTGTGAATTGGTTTTTAATCCATTTATTGAAATCATCATATAAATTTTTCACCTTCAGTCTATTAACATAGTTAATTACATTGGTTAATTATTTTATGGTGAGCTATACTTGCATCCCTTGGGAAAAGCCATATTTTATTATGATATATTATTTTAAAATACATTGGATTGCCTTAGCTAATATTTTATGTTATATTATATGTTATATAATATTTCTTATATTTATGTTATATTGCATTTATGTTTATATTATACAATATTTTTATATTTATATTATATATTATATATAAATATATTACATATAATCTATAATTACATTATTATATATTATATTATATATAATTATATAATATTATATTATAATCCCTTTGCCTAGCTACAATCTTATTGCTTTATAGAATAAATACTATACATGCTCACAGAATGAGACTAGCAGACATATGAATCAGAAGGGCAGAGATAATCCCAAGTAAAGACCAACCTGTAAAGCATGGAATTTAACAGCAATAAATATTTATTTTCCTTCTCAAGGATCTTCTGCATGTTAACTGTCCAAACGGTCAAGTAGTCTCACCTAGGCTATAAATAAGGCTATAGAATGCCATATACTGCATTAAAACTTAGAAGAAAGAAGTGGAAATTGGATACTGATGAACAGAAGACAGTTGATACAATTTACATATCTTTAAAAGATCCAAGATATTCAATAAACAAATTAATAGAAATCATGAGAGCTCAGCAAGGAGGTTAGCATTTCTATACCCAAGCAAAGCTATAAAAATAATGAAACTATCCCGTGTATAAAACAACATAAACCATAAAAGAACTATGAAATAAATCTAATGATACACATGTAGGGCCTTTAATGAGAAATATCTAATGGTTTTTTAAAAGATATTTTAAAAAGTCCTAAAATAAATGGAGTGATAGCTGCTTCTGGTAGAAAAGCAATTAATATCACAAAAGTCAAATTTTCTCAAATGAATATGTGAATTCAAGGAAATAGCAATCCAAACCTAGAATACACTGTTAAAAATGGTACTAAATAGATTGATTTAAAAATTTTCCCGAAAGGAAAGCTATCAAGCAAGAGTAACTAAAAAGTTTGTGAATGAGAGAGGAGTGAAATAAATGAGAAAGTACCTGCTCTATTCCATATCAAAGCATATCATGAAGTAAATATAATTAAAACTATGGTATTGGTGTAGAGAAAGACAAATGCATCAATGAATCAAGATGCAGTCCTAAAAGAAACTTTCATATATGGGAACCTAATATAACATATATTCATAACCTCAAATAAATTTAGAAAAATATGTACTGAAAAAAATGATGTTGGTACAAATGTCTATACTAAAAGGACAAAGAGATTTCATGTTTTTGCTTATACACCATAGAAAAAAAATTCTTAAAATCTGAAGGTGAGGAAGTGTATTTTACAAATGAGTTTCTATTTGTTTCCTGCTAGAAGTGTATAATGCTAAAAGAATAAGAAATGAGATAATAAACTCACAAAGTAAAGAATACAGTACGTAATTTAAAAACATATTTAATGAGAGATATCAGCAACATTTTGGAAGATAGAAACCAACTTTTTTCTTTTCCCTGGCCTTGCACTCCTTTTGGCTTTTATTTTTAAGATCCAGAGCTACCTTGGGCTCTAATGAATTTCTCTCTCCAACTCCAGCACTCACAGGGGTGGTGAGCTCTCTTTAGGTAGATTGTTAATTGTGCTTAGAAAGTGATTCTCAGATCATTGGCCAGGAAAAGATACCACTGCATTAGCTTCATAACAAGCCAGGGAGAAGAAATCATAAGCTGGCTTTCCCAGGGCAATGCCAGGTAGCTGAGCAGACAGTAAGGGCAGCCTGCGTATTAACAATGCACACACATGGAAACCTCCACTCTCACCCTTGGGGAAGGGGAGAGAGAAATGCATTGCAGTTCTACAGGTTTTGCTGCACAATCCTTAAAATCCTCACTGGAGATCTATCATTAATGATTCTGAGAAGTAAAATTTCTAAGTTAAAAACCAGGATAAGACCTGTCTTCCTTCAAGTAAAAACAAGACAAAAGTTATAAGAAGGTTATAGAAGTGGTGGTAGAATTCCAAACCCAGATAGCAAGCAGCCCACTATAAAGTGATATCTCTCTGGGAACTGGTATGAAAAAGTCTCCCTGCCCATGCTCAGACCAGATTATGCACATAGAGCATTCCAATGGTCTCCTGAGTTGCCTGGACCAGGCGGTATTGCTCAAATGGAAGTTGAATTGGAATGAGGAAGTTGAGATTTAATCACATCTACAAGCCCATAAAATGGGATAAAAGTTCTCTCCATCCAAAGGTGGCATCACTGAAACGTAACCCCCTTGAGAAATTAAACTTTGGTGAGCCCCTTCCCATGCTCCAGAGACAAAGAGATAAAACTTCTATTTGCAAAGTTGAATGTAGGTTAGGATAGTGGGTGCATACGTGACCAGACAAAGCGGGGTCGGGGGGAGGGTGAAAATAAAAGAAATCCAATAAACAAAATATAATTGGCCTCTGGAGATTTCATCCCCAAAGTTAGAGAAAGTTATCTGTTCCAACTCTACTTACTTCAAATTCCACGACTTTCCCAGCCCTGCCATCCTTCCAAGTCACAGAGCGGCTTTCTTTATTCTCCATGGGTGAGTCAGGAATTTTCCTTGATTCTTCAACATTTAATTATCATCGTGAATGATGAAACCTGGTTCCTGTAATCCCTGGCTTCTCCCATATTCTTCAGGCCTGAGGGTATGGTGGCTTGATAGGGTTGTCCACCAGTGAAAATCTGTCCTAAGAAAATGTGTTCTGGGTATTCAAATTAGGAAGCCAGAACTTTTCAAGTGATTTAAGTGTTCCCAGCCTTTAGGACGGGCCTAAGCTTCCTAAGGACTGAGCACCAGGTCCTTTTTCCTTTATGACCATTGATTCTTTCTTAGAGAAAAGTTAGAGTTTTCACTTCCACCCATAGGTAACTTATCAGTAAGTTCCTTCATTTGTTGATTCTTATTTACATTTCAATATCCACTTCCCTTTCCCCGTTTACTCATTTTGCATAATTTTCTCTTTCAGGTATTTATCAATCTATCTATTTATTTATTTAAACTTGGAATAATTGTTTTGAGAAAGGTATGTAATGTGTATATATCACAGTATGTGAAGACGTTTTAAACTAAGATGGAATTTACACACATAAAATTAACAACATCAAAGTGTACAATTCAGAGACATTAAGTGCATTCACAATATTAAGTTTCCATGTTTGTATGTGTACAGGGAAGGAGGCATGAAAAGAAGTGTGTGGAAAGCTTGGGCACGTGTATATGTCTGTATGTGGAAACCAAAGGGGGCACCATGGAGAGCATTCTTGTGACTATGCAAAGAACCCCTGGTTCTTTCCTACCTGTATGGGGATTCTGAGGTAACCACATGGTCACTCAACATTATACCTCTGCCTTTGGCATGATCAGCAAGTAACCTGGAAACATAGCCCCCTTTTGATTCTAGTGTGACAGTAACTATTTACATAAATAGTGGGAAATATGTTGGCATGATCTATAAGCTCTCGCCACTAAAAAGAATAAATTCTAAGTTCCTGATGGGAAACAGCTAAGAAGGGACAAATATTTCCAACCAGGTAAGACCCTTCAGGACAGGATCTCTTACCTGTCCTCACCTTTTTCTTGTTTTACCTACACAAAACTATGCTGAAGTTCAAATTTTCCTCTGAAAGCTAATTTTTAAATATAAGTACTCACCTTTATCTACTTCTTATTTAGTTCACTTGTGATTAACAAGTTAAAATTGTATATATTTATGGTGTACAACATGATGTATTTATGGTGTACGTGTTTTGATACCTGCATATACTGTGGAATGGATAAATTAAGCTAATTAACATATGAATTGCCTCATGTACTTATCATTCTTTTGTGATAAGAATACTTAAAATCTACTCTGTTAGCAATTTTCAAATATATCAGGTATTGTTATTACAATACAGAATCACCATGTTGTACAATAGATCTCTTGAATGTATTCCTCCTGCCTAATTGAAATTTTGTATTAGTTGACAAACATCTCCATTGTGTTCCCATTATTTTCCATAATCAGAGCATTTTAATTTTCCTTAGAGGGGAAAAACAGTCTCTCCAACATGTACCCACTGTAAGCTGTTGTGCTCATTACCATATCAGACATGAAGGACAATTACCTTTTCAAGTGTTTAAAAGAGGCTAGTTATCCATATACAGCAAAAAGAATCCCTAAATGGGGAAAATGCTGGTGTTTTTTCTCTTTGACCTGTTGCCCCTGAGGCTCAAAAGCCAAACATCACCTTCATGGGCAAGTGGGAAGAAGTGTACTCTCATAAAATGTGACTCTTGGAATAGTCAGTCTCTGAACTGAATGAGATTGAAACTAGAAATTCAATTTGTCTTCTTGATACATCTCCTGATTTTTACATTCATTTACTCCTCTGCCTTTAAACTAGACTTGTCCAACCCACAGCCCGTGGGCTGCATACAGCCCAGGATGGCTTTGAATGTGGCCTAACACAAACTCATAAACTTTCTTAAAACATTATGAGATCATTTTTTGCAATTTTCTTTTTAGTTCATCAGCTATCATTAGTGTTACTGTATTTTATGTGTGGCCCAAGACAATTCTTCTTGCAATGTGGCCTAGGGAAGCCAAAAGATTGGACACCCTGCTTTAAACAGTGACTATCACTGTGCATGACACAAGGTCACACTATAGACAGGAGTGGCACAATGCATGCACAACAGATTATCAGGTAATCCTTGGTTTCCTACTGACTCCCACTTTCTAGGCATAAGACCTCCTTTTTTCACTTGCAAAATATAGATAACAAGCAAAAGTTTGAAATGAAGTTGTTTATTATATAGTGTAAAAACATACTCATTTTGGTATGTTTTTAGTTTTATTTGTGATATATATGTAAATAGATGTATATTTAGCATAAGGACTGGCACAGAGTATGTGCTCAGAAAACAGTGTGTAAGCTTACCTCAATGTCATATAGACATCAGCGCAGTCACAACTTAATTCTTCTCTTAACATTCTTTCCACCCCATGAACTTTTGACTTTGCCTCACCAAGAGTACTTCGGGAGCTTGCTTGTTTTCTTCCCACCACTTTCTATAAAAATAGTAGACAAAATTGAAGAAAATTTTCTGAAACCAAATCTGACCATTCAGTGGTTTACTGGGCAATTGACTCGGGTAAGTTATTTGAAACAATTTTAGTAAGAAACAGGTTTTGCTTTGACTTTAATGCCTGCCACCTTTAAATATATCAAATACATTTTATTTGGGGGGAAAAAACCCCAAATTGATGACATTGTTTCTGAGAAAAAACAACATGGCTTGAAGTATAAATACTCTCCTTTTGCAGAGATTTTTGGAGAGAGGTAGAAAAATACCACAGTTACATTATGACTAGGGTAAAGTCTTGGAACACTAACCAATTGTTGGAAGTAAATCCTTTATGTACTTTTGCAAGATTCTCTCCAAGACCTCAGGCTCTGTCTAAATTCATTGGTTATGAATCACTTCCTTCAGTAACTAAGCAAACATTTTATGTTTTATTTTGGGGTTAAAAAAACTACTACTAGTGTGAGGTGATATCTTCTTGTGAGTTTTATTTGCATTTCTCTGATAAATAGTGATGTTGAATATTTTTTCATATACGTGTTGGCCATTTGTATGTCTTCCTCGGAAAAATATCTATTCAGTTCCTTTGCCCATTTTTAACCTTTTTTTGGGCTACTGAGCTGTGGAAATTTCCTGTATATTTTGGATGTTAATCCTTTACCAGATATATGGTTTGAAAATATTTTATCCCATTCTATAGGTTGCCTTTCTATTTTGTTGATTGTTTCCTTTGCTGTGCAGAAGTTAAATAAAGTGGTTTAAAAAAACCCAAAAACCAAACTACTACCTATGTCACAATGTCCTAGAATTAAAGCCTTATCTTCTATCTTTCTATCTTCACTGGTGAGGACTGATCCATTTTCTACAAGAAATGAATAAACTATACTATCCCTGAGAAAACATCATTATTGAGTAGTAATCTGACATCACTAAATGCTTCATTAAGTTCACCTTGTGGGGGATAAGAGATTAATTTTAGCAGTTATGTGTATCTTCTCTTTGTGTAACACCTGATCCTAGAGGTTGGCCGCCTTCGGTTGGTCTTGGCTTACTGGAGGAAGCCTTTCCACTTGACACTCTAAAAGTAAAAGCGCAAATTACAGAAAGCAAACTCAAAATTGTTTATACAATATCTAAGAACCTATTAAAATTGTTCATATCATGGATGCATTCCACTGAGAAGGGTTGAGCAGGGTTGTGTCTGAGATGTCCAAAGGAGAAACCCAGTAAACAAAAAGAAGTTAGATGGTAGTGAACAGCAGTCAGAACTCAGGCATAGCTTTCATGTGGATAAAAAACTTTCTCATTTCTTCTGTAATAACTACTAAAATGAGTAAGACTTTAAGTCTAAATACTGCATTAATTTCCTTCCCCTATTTAAGAGCAGATGTTCAGGAGAAGAAATTATATTCCAATAAATAGAATTTTAAGAATGTAACTTCCTTTTTCTTTGATTTCCCTGCACAGTTGGGTCCCACTGTGGTCCTCACACCTGGATGCATTGTTCAAGCCGAGTTTGGATGGTGATTTGGCTGAGATATTCTAGGGGGACTTTAAGTTCAGATGGGCAGGCTCTTCATATGCCCTGCAAATCATCTTCCAATCCTTCATTTCCATGACTGGTTATTTTTCCATCTTTAGTATGGTCCTTGGAAGCTCAGGGGTCAGGAAAATAAAAACCAGACATGGGTGAGTGAGTTCATTCTGCTGGGGATTTCCAGTGATTGGGGCATTCAGGTCTCCCTCTTTGTCCTGATCCTGGCCATGTATTTGGTTACTATTGTAGGAAACACCCTCATTCTCCTTCTTATCAGACTGGACAGCAGGCTTCATACCCCCGTGTACTTCTTCCTTAGTGTTCTGTCATTTGTAGACTTTTGTTACACAAACAGTATTATCCCACAAATGCTGGCCCACTTGATCTCAGCTCGAAAGTCCATCCCATTCTACAGTTGTGTGCTCCAGCTCTATGTTTCTTTGGGATTGTGTGGGTCTGAGTTCTTCCTGCTGCGGGCCATGGCCTATGACCACTACGTGGCCATGTGCCACCCACTATACTACACGGTCATCATGCATGGGGAGCTGTGCCTGGGGCTGGCAGCTGGCTGCCTGGTGGCTGGCTTCTCAAATTCACTGATGGAAGCAATAATCACCTTCCAGCTTCCCCTGTGTCACAATGTTATTAATCACTTTGTCTGTGAGACCTTAGCAGTGCTACAGCTCACTTGTGTAGACATCTCCTTCAACAAGGTCATGGTGGCCATCTCTGGATTTCTGGTGATCATGCTTCCCTGTTCCCTGGTCCTATTCTCCTATGCTTACATAATTGCTGCCATTTTGCACATTCATTCTACTCAGGGATGCTGCAAAGCCTTCAGGACCCGTGCCTCTCACCTCACTGTGATTTGCATGTGCTTTGGAGCTATCATCTTCACCTACCTGGTGCCACAGTTGGCCTCCTTGGCAGAGGAGGAAAAATGATGGCTCTTTTTTATGGGGTGGTGCCACTCATGTTGAACCCCTTGATCCACAGCTTGAGAAATAAGGAAGTTATGGCTGCTCTCCAGAAAGTTTTAGAAAGACGCAGATAAAAGGTCATGACTCTAAGAACCTCTTGTTATCTATCATCAGAACCAAAAAGGAGATCAGATCATTGTAGACAGAACTCCCACACTTATACTAAAAGAAGACTATTATGGTCAAATCTTTGCATTCGAACAAAGTATTCCTCCAAACGCTTAATACATTTTTTTTATGTAGGCCAATACTTGAAAATATACATGTTAGGGATCAATGAGATAGCTTCTTTGTAGACATCTTCTCTCAGATATTCAGTGATTTGGGGGCTTCATCTGCCCATTTTTGGTTTTATCAGTGTGTCAATGTATAAAGGAATGATCCCCAGCTTCATCAGGCAGACCTAACTCCTGATCCTTGTTCTGTCTCTCACTACCTGTGCTCTCTGGCAAGTTATTGAAATAACATATGCGTTAGTTTTCTTCTTTGTTAGATAAGAAAATTGTACCTAACTTCCAGAGTGGAAGCTACTTTTAATGTGATATTGATGGAAAGACTTTCCTCATGAAACAAACAATAAGGATAGGGAAAACTTATTAATGCATTTATTTCAATGGAGTCAGACTGTGAGAGGCGGAAAATGTGAAGAAATCCTGGTCTAAACAAAATAGACATTAATTTAGAGTTAGGCTAGGTAAGCCTGCCTAACTTGAAGTTGTAAGAATTGAGGCTTGTTCTGCTTATAATACATTATTCTAGTATGTAACTTCTACCTCGTAGTTCAAGAAATGGCTTGAATTTCAGTCAACACATTCACATGCTGCCCATCAAAAATAAAGAAAGAGGCTGGGTGGGGTGGCTCATGCCTGGAATCCCAGCACTTTGGAAGGCTAAGGTGGGGGGAATCACTTAAGGCCAGGAGTTCGAGATCAACCTGGCCAACATGGTGAAACTCTGTGTCTATTAAAAATACAAAAATTAAGCCGGGCGCGGTGGCTCAAGCCTGTAATCCCAGCACTTTGGGAGGCTGAGGCGGGTGGATCACGAGGTCAAGAGATCGAGACCATCCTGGTCAACATGGTGAAACCCCGTCTCTACTAATAAAAAATACAAAAAATTAGCTGGGCATGGTGGCGCGTGCCTGTAATCCCAGCTACTGAGGAGGTTGAGGCAGGAGAATTGCCTGAACCCAGGAGGCGGAGGTTGTGGTGAGCCGAGATCGCGCCATTGCACTCCAGCCTGGGTAACAAGAGTGAAACTCCGTCTCAAAAAAAAAAAAAAAAATACAAAAATTAGCCAGACGTGGTGGTGCATGCCTGTAGTAGCTACTTGGGAGGTTGAGGCAGGAGAATTGCTTAAAACCCGAGAGGCAGAAGTTGCAGTGAGCTGAAATAAAGAAAATAAAGAAAAGAGGAAGGAGCATACCCACTTCCTTTAGAGACCTTATTAAAAACTCACACAAAAAATGCTGCATAAATTCTACTGGCTGATTAAAACTTAGTTACTTGGCCACTCAAAGGTGACAATGTAATTGTTAGTAATCATGTGCCTAAAAAACAATCAGAGCTTCTGATATTAAGAAGGAAAGGGAGAATAAATATTGATGGATCTAATAATTTGTGACCATAGTACTTGCAAGAAAATTAAGCACATCTACTTAATGAAAGATGAGGTGATAGGACAGCAGACTGAGATACAAAAGGATCTAAGGATTACAGGTAAAGTAGGGACATACACACACAAACTATTTCAGATTTTAAAAGGCCATTAAAGCAATAAACAGAAAAAAATAATAATATGTTAACAGTAATCTGTTGTTTGGAATCCAAAACTGATACAGACAAAAAAAAAAAGATACAACATATGGATAATTGGTATTTCTGATGAAAAGACTGAATAAAAAATACTTTTTACTTTTAACTATAATTAATAAAAATGTCATTTAAATAAAGGAAGCATTTGTTATTTAGATGAAAGAGCCTTGCCAGTTACCTGAAAATTAAAGGAGAGTAAAAATATTTATAGATATATTGGTAAAAATGACTGAATTTCAAGTATAATGAAGGGATCAGAAATATTTAGAAAACAAAACAGAAAAGTCACTTAGAAAAACGTTAAGTGCATTGATTTTCTAGTGCTCTATAACAAATTGTAATAAATTTATAAGCTTAAAAGAACACAAATTTATTATCTTAACATTCCTGTTGGTGAGAAACATAGCTGGATTCTCAGCTCAGGGTCTCACTAGGCTCAAATCAAGGTGTCAGCTGGGGTTGTGATCTCATTTGGGACCCAGGATCCTCTCTCAAACTCAGCAGTTGTTGGAAGAATTCATTTTCTTGCATGTATGTGACTGAGGTATCCAATACCTTGCTTGCTGCTGGCTGGTGACTCCTCTAAGCTCCTGGAAGCCACCCTCAAGTCCTTAACACATGGCCCACTCCTCTCACTACATGGTAGCTTGCTGTGTCAAGAATGACAGGAGAATCTCTGTCGTGTCAAATTTCTCTGATGGCTAAGAAAGTCTGGACACTTTTGAAGTCCCCACTTGATTAGGCCAGGCTCACTCAGGATAACCTCCCTTTTGTGTAAATCCAGTTCAGCTGATTAATTACATCTTCAAATTCTGTTTTTCCATATACTGTAACATTATCACAGGGAAATCCCATCATATGTCACAAGTCCTGCTCATATTGAAGGGGAGAGTGTTGTACAGGGCATGTACACCAAGAACTGAGACTCTTGGGGGCCAGATTGGAATTCAGCCTATGACAGCTATAATGGGTCTTTGAAATATTAATGATAGGGATGATAATATCTTTCTACAGAATCCTGAGCATACAAATTGTTAAATAAAAATTGCATACCTATTTAAGCCATCATTCATTTTTAAAGGTGACAGAAATATACATTTACATATGTAAAAATTCGACAAATTTATTACCCATATACCCTTCATGATGACTATAAAAGCTCTAACAAAAATGTAGAAACAACTTTCGATGGCTTAAAATAAAATGCTGGGAGGCATGCAAGTTAAGTTGTGATAGGACAGGCAACAAACTAACGCCTTTTAAGTAGATAATTGAGTTTTTTAAAAGGCTGCAAATTGATAAGGCAGCCACTCCAGCTCAATCACAAAAAATGGCAAGTTGCAACTTTACTAACTGGCCACGTGGGTGTTCAAACCAGCCAATGAGGCAGCAGGAGAAGGACACGAGTCTCACTCTGGCCTGTGCAGAACTGTAGTCCCTGCCACTGCCTCACTCCTGTGCTCTGTGCTGCAAGCCAGAGCATTTTTCTACACTTAAAATGCTACCAGAAGTTGGAAGTTCAGTTGGATACACCCCTTCAGACAGGGGTTGGGGGTGGACAGTTGTAGTGGAAGCTTTCATTTCCATCAACTTCTCTTAGCATTTCTCAAAGAGATGGAAGGTCTTCTTCAAAGAGATGGAAGGTATATTCCCATGCCACTGTCACCTTCCAGCAAAGTGTCACAGATGTGCTCTATCATGCTGGCTGTCATGTATGGTGGAGGTCTCATCAGTAGTATCCTGGAGAATAATTCGGCAGTCGTTTGGTCATGATTGTTGGTGTTGTCTGTCAGGCTGTGGCTTGGTTGTGGCTTCTCTCTGTAACATTATACAGGAACTTTACTTGGGTATTGGAATCATTGGAGGTCTTGGGCTTTCCTTTAATTGAACCTAGCTCTGCCCATGATTGGCAAGCGTTTCTGTATGACGTGACCACTGGCCAACAGACTGGCCACGGCAGGCAGCCTCTCTACCCTGACTTCCTTGATCAGGCTTTCTTTGGTATCTATGAATGGAAAGGAAACTTCCTAATTCTTGGTGGCTTCCTACTAAACTGCTGTGTAGCTGGAGACCTTATGTGGCCAATAAGGTCCAAGCCAACAAAGGCAGGAAAAGAGGTCTAAAGAATTCCTTCAGGAAGCTGAAAAATCTGATGCAAAAAAGGTGCAGGTGATGCAAATACAGATCTTACTGGAGGACACCCCAAAGAGAAGAAATGATCAGTCTTCCAAACAATTAATACATTCCTGGACTTATCCCTATTTACTCAGAGAGGTTTTTTGTTGTACTTCTCTGGAAATGTGCTCACATTTTTCTGGACTCTTTACACCTTTGGCCTTTCTGAGTAATTATGGCAAGAATCAGTATCATTCCAGGAGAAGTCTGCCTTTCTTCTTTCCCTTCTGGCTTTTGTTGACATACAGCAAGGCCTTCTCTGGGACTTGCAGCCTCCACAAAGTGGATAAGGCCTCAAGTTCTAAAGTTCAGTATTTATTGGCTGCTTCTATTATTGTAAATGGAATGTGTCATTTACTAACACCTTCATCCACCAGCTGTATTGAGTTCTGTGTCTCTGTGAGATCCTTTGGATTTACCTTTGTGGCTCAGTTCCATATTGTTTGAAACACTGATGGACTTCATTGGACCCAGAGGCTCTCCAGCACTGTGGGTTTGGTTACCATTGTGGGATGCTACTTTATCCTCCTGGGGCCACCACTTTTAGGTCATCTCAATGACATATGGAGATTACAAATAGACATATGGGCATATGGCATAATCTTAATTATTGCAGGTGTCTAGCTCTTCATTGCTGGGTGATAGGTATCAATTATCAACTTTTGGTAAAAGAACAGAAAGCAGAGGAGGAGCAGGAAAAGGAAAGAAAGAAGAGCAGCATAGATATTACTGAGAAGCTTGAAGAAGTTACTAAAGCAGAGGAATTCCCCAACTAGAAAGGCACAGAAGGAGGCCTCAAAGAAGAGGAGAGTCCACCCTATATTTATATGGCTAAAGGGTAAATGGAACAGTTCATGACCCAAGATATCTGAAAATATTCTACTGGCCTGGAATATACCAGTGGTGCTCAATGCAGATAATAGACATTTTTGTGGAAACCATACCAGGTGTCCACTGATGGAATTTTTGTTTCAC